AGCAGCAGCGTCTTGGCGTCGTCGTGGAGGCCCGCAGCCACGTTGCCCGCTCCCGCGCCGGGGAGGCCCGCATCCGCGCCGCCCACGTCCGCGCCTGGAAGGCCCACGGCGGCGAGAAGAGAAGCGGCGGCGGCGTGGGGGTCTCTGGACGCTGTGCTCGCGATTTGCGCCAGTGGAAGGGAGAGGGGGGAAGGGAAGTAGGAGGGGAGGGGAGGAGGTGGTGGGCCACCGCCATGGCATGGCGGCCGCCGGCATGGCTAGTCACTACTGGCGGCTGGGAGAGGGAGGAAAGGGGGAAACCTAATATGATACCATGATAGAATTATGATTCCTTACTATTGGGCTAACCCTAGAAGGGTAGCTATGTTGGAGTCATACATGGGCCATATATGGGCCTTAATACACACATACTCCAACACCCCTGATCTCGAACTACCGGCCGTAGCAATGAGTTCTGATGGACATGAAAAGAAGAAACACACGAGCCCCCCCCACAGGCGCAACTAGCCACCGGTGATGTTGAGGTTGGAGCGAAACTCGGAGAATATGGAGGACGGGAGGCCCTTGGTGAAGATGTCGGCAAACTGGGAGGTGGTCGGGACGTGGAGGACCCGAACATCGCCGATGGCGACCCGATCGCGGACAAAGTGAAGGTCGATCTCCACATGCTTGGTCATTTGGTCTTTGAGCAGGGGTTGGTGGAGAGGTACACACCTGACTTGATGTTGTCATGAATAAACAAGCGTGCTCCGGGAGAGGGGACTATGGAGCTCGGCAAGAAGCTGGCGGAGCTAGGAGGCCTCCGCCACGCCATTAGCGACAGCGTCGTACTCCGCCTCGGCACTGGAACGGGAGACCACCGGCTGGCGCTTGGACGACCAGGACACCAGGTTGCCGCCCAGAAAGATAGCATAGCTGGAAGTGGAGCGCCGAGTGTCTGGACACCCGGCCCAGTCGACGTCAGTGTAGACGACGAGGTCGGTGGAGTGAGACCGGTGGAGCAGCAGGCCATAGTCGACAGTGCCTCGGAGGTAGCAGAGGAGGCGCTTGAGAGCAGTGAGGTGGGGCTCTCGGGGATCATGCATGTGGAGGCATATCTGCTGAACTGCATAGGTGATGTCTGGCCTGGTGAAGGTGAGGTACTGAAGTGCTCCTGCAAGGCTCCGGTACGCAGTGGGGTCTGGCACTGGGTTGCCCGCTGCCTCTGACAGCTTGGCCTGAGTGTCAACTGGAGTGGAGCAGGGCTTACAGTCAGTCATCCCAGCTCGCTCCAGGATATCAAGAGTGTACTATCGCTGGTGAAGAAGGAGACCGGTGGGACAAGGCTGAACTGCGACCCCGAGGAAGTGATGGAGCACACCAAGATCCTTCATAGCGAACTCCTGTTGAAGAGAGGTGATGATACGCCGGAGGAGTGACAAACTGGAGGCTGTGAGCACAATGTCATCAACATAGAGCAGCAGATAGGCAGTCTCAGCACCGTGGTGATAGATAAACAGAGAAGTATCTGACTTTGCCTCCACGAATCCCAATGTCAGCAGGTAAGCAGCAAACCGAGAGTACCAAGCCCGAGGGGCCTGCTTGAGGCCGTCGAGGGACTTGTTGAGCCGGTAGACCATATCAGGACGAGAAGAGTCAACGAAGCCCGCAGGCTAGCTGCAGTAGACTGTCTCAGTCAGAGTACCGTGCAGAAAGGCATTCTTGACGTCTAGCTGGTGCATGGGCTAGGAGCGAGAGAGAGCCAGTGAGAGAACCGTGCGGACGGTAGCCAGCTTCACCACTGGACTGAACGTCTGATCGTAGTCGATGCCAGGGCGCTGGGTGAAACCCCGGAGAACCCAGCGAGCCTTGTACCGATCAAGGGAACCATCAGCCCGCCGCTTGTGTGTCCAGATCCACTTGCCGGTAACAACGTTGGAGCCAGGCGGATGGGGCACCAGATCCCAAGTCTGGTTAGCGAGGAGTGCCGCGTACTCCTCCTCCATCGCGCGACGCCAGTGAGGATCCGACAAAGGCGGTGTGACGGAAGAGGGTGCTGAGAGAGACTGCGGCTCGCTGGCATCATTTGCAAGAGCCGAGGGCCGCGAGGTACCAACTGCGTGCCGCGTCACCATAGGGTGAACATGACGCGGGTGTCGGTGCAGGAGAGGCGGGTGGTACACCGACTACGCGACACGGGCAGCCGGGGGCGGAGGTGGCGGCGTAGGTGTCGACGGCGGAGAAGAGGCCACCGGTGGTGACCGAGGCGGCGACGGTGGTGGCGGGGCCAGCTCCGGATGCAGCGAAGCCGGCCGCACTCAGCGGTGGTAGACATGCACCGGCTGTGCGAAACGCGCAGCAGGTGCTGAAGCCGAGGTCTCCGGACCCGCGCAGGGCGTAGGGCCAGGAGCAGCACCGGAGTCCGGCGCCGCCGGACCCGCGCTGGGCGCAGGGTCAGGGGCCGCACACGGAGCCGGCGAAGGGCACGGTGGAGTAGTACCTGCAGGACACAACGTCAATGGTGGCTGGTCCACCGTGTCAGTGGGAAACAGGGAGAAGAGGTAGCTATGTTGGAGTCATACATGGGCCATATATGGGCCTTAATACACACATACTCCAACATTTTCAATGCTTTAACTTTTACTGTTCTATGGAGTTTGCCGGTAACTTTGAAACCATTGGCATGTGGCAAGGTTTTCTTCAGCTTCAGCGACCCATGCTGTCCAAAATCAAGAATTGGGAGCAACTATGCCATATGATATATCTGCAGCAGTAGAGAAGATGGTGCTTGATGTTTGAAGCTCTAATACCAAGGGTAGAGAGGACCTCACTAACTGGTGCATCTTGAGTCCACTAGACATCCAGAAAAAAGCATCAGCTAATTGGAAGCTCTAAGGGCACCTTCTGAAGATAGTGGAGCTTGAAGACCTGAAGCCATCTTGCTGCCTAGGCATGTGTTGTGCTCTTGCAGGAGATATATTTCTCTGTGCATATTTTTCTGGCTGCTAGTTTGCTGTCGAAGGTGCAGTACTAGAGTAGTTTTGTTTTGGCTGTCAGCTTTCTATTGCTAGGTGTAATACTGGAGTGGTTTTGTTTTGGTTGTCGGGGCAGCAGTACTAAAGTAGTTAATTATGTTTGGTAGTAAAATTGTCGCTAGGCCTTGCAATATCTTCTTCGGGCCTTCTGTTTATAACTACACTGCAGGATTACATAGCTGGCCTCGGTGCAAGCAAGGCTTGCTGATGTTTGTTGCTGGAAATTGTTAAATTGCTTTTTGCATGAATTATAAATATTTTCTCAATCTACGCTTGGTTACTAAAAGATATTTGTTGGTTGTTTGATTTGCATTGATAGATGATGCCATATACAATTAATGCATATCCAAGAAGTATATTAGAATTTCAAAACCTAAACTGATTTCTTCTTTTCAAACTCTTGAATGGTTCAACGACAGAGGTAACATCAATTTCAGAGTAATTCTAAGTTCAGAATGAACAAAATTTATATATGCCTTGACCTAATCCTTTAGCTAGATCTCGTTAAAATCTACAGTAAACAAAAGCATTACTTTGATAATGCAACTTGCAAAGGTTGGACATATGTTATTGGTATTAATTCTTCTGCATGGGAGGCTACCACCTGATTTTTGAAGCTTACTGCTGCTGGCAAAGTGGCAAGTCTGCCCTAATGTTTAAGTGGATTATTTATTCAAATTCATGTCCCTAGGGCAAAAAAAATCAGAACATAGCTGTCTTGTCAACTTGTATCTTATATTCAATTTAACTACTCTAGGGTATTAAATATACATAATGTAGAAAGGGATCCTTTCGTGATTTATGTCTCCTGTTGGCTAGCATTCCTCATTTCTTGTCTAAATAATAGGTCTGTAGCCATGTAAGATTTGCATCTCTGTTAAGATCGTTCTCATCCTGTAAACAAATCACATGTACTAAGTCCTAATTATTCAAACAAATATATATCTTTCTCTTAAAAGAATAATCGTTGTTCTATGGTCTAATTCTTACTTTTCTTTTAATTTTCTTCAACGTGCGAATTTTTGAATTCCATGGCATAGTTTCAGTTGCGGTTTTCCTCCACCTTTGTAGTGACCTTAATGAAACCGATAGAGGATTTATTATTTTCTTTTAGAAACGATAGAGGATTTAGGTGAGGGAGAGAAGGGCCAACACGAAGACAGGGATGTGTTATGTACGCACGAAGGACTCTCAAAGGCCCACAGAAGCTCCCGTTGCAATGCACGGAAAGGTCTGTACAATAGAATTGGTGAGCTTGCAACGCCGTCCTCTCCGTGACTGTGTTAATTTCACGAACTTTGTTTTTTGGATTAAATATCACTTTAATGTTGGTATTTAATTTCACAGTATTGTTATCTTATCGTGCGATCCGTGTGTTTTTAGTACAAAAGTTTAGTTGTCCCGTAGCAACGCACGGGCACGAACCTAGTTCTTGTATAAGAGAAGGATATGAGAGTACTGGAGGGCCGGGTAGGGTCGTGAGAGAGCGACAATGACTTTACTCATTTGGAGTTGTTTAACAAACTGAAGTTGGCTTCGCCAAAATCTTATCCTCTTGTAGTGGTTGCTTCAACACCATCATTTAAGGTTCTCTATGAGACTCATCTACATCATCCTCGATACGGTGTATACTCGTACCATACTCACAAGGACTGCTGAACATAATCAAGGGTATCAGACTCCAACAGCTACTCTACAGAACTTCCACTGTGGGCTAAATAAAAGCTGAATGTATATTGCTTTTAGCATCAATAGGCACAACATTTCAGTAACCCCCAAAAAAAAATCTTCCAAGCTAGACTATGCTATGGATATGTAGCAGTTGCAGCTTTATTGGTAGTGTTATACAGCCTACAGGAAGTCAAGAAGTACCAAGTTGCAGGATTTTTGTAGTTAAGATGCTCATTAACTTTTTTAAAGTTGGTGCATTCGAAAAGGAATCCAAACTGCACGACAAACTAGTGAACTATACCTAGAACACCATACCTCAGGATATATGGGATCTCAAGCTTCGGAGGTACATTGTCTGCGAAAAGAGAAGCATCCTGAGCCATTTTTAGCAAGACTCTTCGGACGATTTCCCCCATATACATGCCAGAGATCAACTTCTCATAAATCTGGCAGGAAAATAATGCTGCAGAGTCAATACACACTAAAGGGTAAAAGAAAGATCATAATCTGTAGCATATGAAGGGCAATACCTGTTCACCAGGGTTCAAACTTTCTGCATCCAAGGCTACATCAAATTCAGTCAGCGGAAGGTGGGAGGACCTAAAGTTCCCCCATTCCACGTTTATCACCTGATAAAAAGGTAAGCTAATGATGAACACCCTCATAAACATGTCAATGCTATCAATAAGGCAAAAACCTATATGAAGAGTACAGTCAATATAAGTCCCATATTTTGTATGTTTTTTACTTTGCAATCATAGGGAGAAGTAAAAGATACTCACCATGTCTCCAGACTCAGGAGGTGGGCCACACCATTTAGGAATTGAGCTCATATGTTCTATGTATGCTGCATTAGTGCCAGTACCCAGTATAACTGCAGCAACAGTATCATTATCCACATATCTCCCAGCAGCCAATGTCCCTACTGTATCATTGACCTGAAAAGGTAGCGTTTATATTTCAACATCTACAAGTTGAGCTCAGTTAAGACATGATTGATGCACAACAAATTGATATCTTTGACCATTTAGTAAAACTAACCAGTGCTGTGACTTCCATATCAATTCCTTGGCGTTTGATAGCCTTGTTTAATTCTGCCACTACATCCTTTCCTACCTGTCCTCAAAACAAAATGAAAGAAGTAGATTGTTCATATCTATCCAGATACAAACATGTAAACAAGTTGTAGCTCAAAAAGGAAAACTGTTAGATATGCTCTATTAGATTTTCGATAGGATGAAGCATGGCATGTGTTCTACACCTGAAGCAGGCATTCTTAAATTAGAGTCTTCAATTACATAAAGTAGGCTGCAAGAACTGACCATTTCATCAATTGCAAAACCCTTTGTCCATTTGATAAGAGTGCCAGATGCAACTGAATTTTGCTTCACTGGAAAGGAGAATGTAAAACCAAGTTGCCTTTGCATGCCCTCAGGAAGATGAAAGCCCTCACCCTCGGAGGCAACGAACTTTGCTAAAGCAGCAGCAATAAAATCAAACAGCTCCTAAAATAGAATTACAAAGAACATTGCAGACTTAATGTATGACAACAAAATTGAGTTCCACGAAAATGAAATAAAATAAAACTACTGAAATGAACATAACATGAGACATGGACGTGGCTCCTTACATTTGATCCATTGGACATTAAATGTTGAGGAATGGATACCCCTTTAGATTCTTGATTGACTATTCGTTGTTCCTTGCCCCCAAACTGAATTCGTAAAACACGAAAGTTTGTTCCTCCAAGGTCAAGAGCATAAAATAGCCCTTTCTCGCCCCTTCAAGAATGGGCTTACAGAGTCAGATGTATATTCTAAAAAATGCAAACTCATGGCAGCTGAAACATAAGAAAAGCAACCCTGAACAAAGAACGTAATGGTTCAATCTGTTCAGTTCGAACTTAAACACAGACTACCGAACATCAACTTCAACCAAACATTCCCATAATTCTTTTTAAAAAACCTTCAGGGTCAAAACTCTTGCCATCCCATTAAAGCACAGATCGCCACATTGCCATACGTCCCTGGCAGATTGACAGCAACCACACCACCATTCCACACACACAAGTGGGCCTTTGACCCAAGAACAAAGAGGCAACACCACAAGCCTCCACGTCGAACTGCATTTCGGACGGATCGCTCTCCGGGTCTTAATCGAACAGGCAGGGGTAGGGGTCTGCGCTGATTACCCGGAGGGTAGGGAGTCGACGTAGGTGACGAGCATCTTGAGGAGGACGCTGCTCCCGCTCTCTCCCTCGGAGTCGTTGGAGGCCAGCCCCGCGCGCATCTCCGCGGCCATCGCGTCTGCCACCAGCCGCAGCCGCTCCGCCGGCGCCGCGCACCGCTCCTGCAGGTCCCGCAGCACGGCGCCTGCGCGTGCCCACCGCCTCGCTTCCCGCAGCCTCTGGCGCACCATCACGGCGGCTATGGCTGCGGCTGCGAAAACCGCCGTAGACGCCACCAGCGCCGCCGGCTTCCTCATCGGCGACGTTGCGTTCGCCTCTCAGCCTCAGGTCCACAGCACAGCGGTCAACGGTGCCGTGGCCGCAGGCCCGCAGCACTAACCGGTCAGACAAGTCAACTTTCAACGGGGACTATGACTCTGAACGGAGCGCGACGTATAAGGGGGCGTTTGGTTGGACGTTCTTGCTCAGCCAGCTCCAGATGCAAGTTTCAGGTGTTTGGTTGGCCGCATCGAGGTCTGAACCTGGCTATCTCGATGCAAAAGGCAGCCCAGAGTCTGGCTCTCTAGACGCGGATTTCATTTACGTTTCTGGCGAGCTAGGCTCGCATGGTACAGCACAGGGTTCTGATACTATTATCGTGTGATTAACATGTATTAAGTGATATTAGTGTATTTTAAAATAGATTAAGATAATAAAAGTAAAATTATTATAAGATCACTTGTTTTTTATTTTTAGTTCATGCGATACGGCTTCATGCAGGCAACCAAATGCTATCTCTTCTCAGCCGGGCTCTATACGTTCAGACAACCAAACATCAATAGCTTGCATCTCCACGACCTGTCCTACGGAAGCCTGGTTCTAGATGTGAGCCAGGCTTCACTCACCAACAGACCAAACACGTCTTAAAGGTTTCGTATCAAAAGTTTTTGTAATTTATTTAGAAGAGGTTCATCTCAAAACTATTCAAACAAAAGTTTCAACAAATCTTGTTTTTAGAAGTTCTATAGACAACCCGCTAGAAGAACATTATGAAGGAAACTTGCTCTAAAAATTCACCAAACGCTCCTTAAAGTTGCTTAGAGATGTCATCTATGTCCTCGGAATACTAAAATATATTTTTGGCTTTTTAAAGTTATAACAGGTCTCATCCAGTGCCAAAAATATGTTTTTATGACCCACTATCCTATATGGCATGTCAATTCAATGCTTACATGAGTTTGATAGATGACATCCACATGTCAGATGCAAGGTTCCACCCTAGAAAAATCGTATTTTTTCATACAACCAGGATGAACATTATTTTTATATGAAAATATAGATTTCCTAAAGTTTGTATCATTCAAATACAAAAACTCAAAACTAAAAAATTGCATACGTCATCGAGCACTATAACTCTTAAATATCATTTTTAAAATACATTTAATAATTGATTTAATATTATTCATTGCGCATCATAAATATTAGTAATCATATTTGTTAAAATTGCCTATGTTTGATTCATCATAACATATTATAGCTTTAAAAAGAGACGGAGATAGTATCAAATATTTTTTTCTACTACTATATGTCCCAAATTATATGTCGTTTTGGTTTTTAGCTTTTGCTATGCATCTAAATATATGATGTCTATATACATAATAAAAGTTGTGTATTTAGAAAAGCCAAAACGACGTATAATTTGAAACGGGTGTAGTATAAAGAGTAAAGTCCACGAGTGGTTCCTAAACTTGCATCCTTAGAGCATCTCCAAAACTTCCCAAAACAATCCTCTAATCCATGATTTTTTTGGTAAGATTGAAAAGTACATCAACAACAACTTCCAATTCCACCTTCCAATCTTTTGGCACTGAAAAAATCAATCCCGTCGCACGGGTAAATAAGTGCGCGTATCCATCGAAGTATATAAGTGGATGCCACGATTTAGAAATAGTTTAGGATTCTTGATATAAAATTACATTCTATCTTTTAGAGCAAAATTTTAAAAACTCTTAGAGGAAACCAACAAATATGCTTCCATCTTTTTTTAGTCACTTAGAAAACTCATTAGTTTGTCAAGTAATTTTTTAGAAACTACTAGCAAACATGCTCATACGTTGCAACGGGAGAAAAAACTACGTGTTCATACGAAACGACAATGCAAACAGTACATATCTATGTATGTTTAATTTTATTCTTCTTACAAATTTTCAAACCTACATGATAACCATGACATTCATAATATAAGCTCGAGACATAATAGTTAACTTAGATATAAGAAGTGAAACTCATAATATAAGTCGTTTATGGACAATATTTGCTCTGTTACCGGGTCCGTCATCAGCTCCAGCGTGATCGGGGCACTGCAACGCCTCTAGGTTGACACCCGCCGCGCACCTCGGCGGGAGCCTGTTTGTCATCGCGGCAGTAGTGGATCTAGAATGAAAATGACCGTTAAATATTATGTTTGCAATTAATTTAGTCAAGAAAACAAAAGGCACATATTTTTGTCAAAATATCTTGATATTTTTTAGCATGGAACAGCAGGTGCTCTGCCTTTGCATTAAGTAGAGGTGAAAAAGAACGGGTACAACAAGTTTACATGCTGGTTGTTGGTTATACGTTCCAGCCAACAGAAAGGTAGAAGCTAAAAGAGAAAAAAAAACTGCACAGCAATAATTGCAGTATGAAACTATCGCATGTTACAAAAATATCTAGATATAATAAGCCATATATTTTTTTCAAAATATTCAGATATAATAAACCATCCTTACTTAGGATATAACATGGCTAAAGTGCAATGTTCTGAGTAGCTGCATTTGTCAGCGTCAAATTCTCTAGTCATTTTTTTTTGTTTCGCTCCAAGTTTTGCAAAATAACAAATATATGAGATAAAAGGAAAACAGACAAACACGTTAATGCCTTCCGTGAGTCCTGGTTTTCATGAGCGGGAACGTCTTTCACGGGAAAAGGTTTCCATCTCACGGATGGGATCTTTTTTTCCGGAAAACGTTTCCATCTCAGGGAGAAACACAGACGCGGGATTTGTTTTTCCAGAGCTGATGTCGAAACCGAGCCACTCTAGGTTAAGGTGGACGGAAAATTGTTAGTGGTACAAATTTTGCCTCTTCAGTATTAGATATAGATATAGATATAGATACTATTATTTTCTCTAAATTGGAAACAGCTGCAAAGAAAAAAAACAGTTGCAAAACATAAACGGAAACCATCACATACATTACGTGGGAGAAAGGCTGGGAAAAAAATGGTTTCACGCAAAAACAGTTTGGAAAAATATGAAAGCCAATTCTCAAACAAAAAGTCTCAAATTAGGATTCCTATTCAAATTACTCAAAATCGAAGAGATCTATTTGATTAGAATTAGGATTCCTAGCTATCATAGCTATCTAGATTTATATAAGTCTAGACGGATGAAATTTTTAACTACCGGTAGTTAAGGAAATGCGGACGAAAAAAATGAATGGACGAAATCTTTATTATTAGGTATAGATTATGGATGCTCTTATATCATCCTAGTCTTTAAACTCTTAAAACATCATCTAAGTATATAAACATTGTTTGGATGGATCTGGTGCCTTTTTCGTTCCTAAAATTTTGTAATTTTTTTCAAGATTCCCTGTCACATCGAATCTTTGGACGCATGTATAAAGCATTAAATATAAATAAAAAATAAAACTAATTACACAGTTTAGACGAAATTCACGAGACGAATCTTTTAAGCCTAATTAGACTATAATTAAACACTAATTACCAAATAACAATAAAAGTGCTACCGTACCGTTTTCCAGAAAATTTCGCCAACTAAGACCCCGTTTACTCATCCAAATGAGTCTGAACCCACGATCCTCCCCTCGATACAAGTTTAGGGACAGACAGTGGCTCTAGTATAAAATATAAAAACTTTAGAATACCAAGTTTACTCCTAGCACTAGCAGTATAGGAATGCGTCAGTGCCAGTACCCCACCGTGCAGTGGCACGGGAGTCCAGGTCCCGAAAAAACTGGCTTTTCTTCTCCCTCCCAGTCTACTCGCCGAGTCCGACTCGCCTTCTTGGGTTCTTCCTCCCCGAGCAGCCACTTCCATCTCTAACCCTACAGCGACGACGAGAGCGAGGCCATGAGGGGGAAAAAGCCGATGAAGGAGCTCAAGCTCTCCGTGCCGGCGCAGGAGACCCCCGTCGACAAGTTCCTGTCAGTGCCCTCGATTCCTTACCCTCAACTACCCCCGTCACCCCTCTCTCTTTTTGAAGTATCCAGTGTTATCGGAGTGATTTGTGTTGCTAAAGGCTTTATTTATAAGCGGGAACTTCGTTCTTCCTCTTCGTATATTGCCGTTTTAAGTGCTCCAGATGTTATTTTGCGGTGCCACTTCCAGATCATGCTTAATTTTGTATATTCCTCGAATTTGACCGCGGATTCGACTATTCATTCATCTTCTGAAGATAATGCATAAACAGAATATCTTTGAATTTGATGGCTGGTGCCTTTCTTATAGGACGGCAAGTGGTACGTTCAAGGATGGTGAACTGCGGCTCAATCAAAGCGGTTTGCGGCTTATCTCCGAGGAAAATGGGGATGAAGATGTGAGTTCCGGATCGAATTCTTGATCTGTGCTATAGTATTGTTGCGGAATGTACTTAGCATGGTGGAATTGTAGGTTTCCACATGATACTTAGTATAAGCACACATACTAGTTCAGTTCCAGACCATCTATTTTGTTGCTATCTGTTAAAAAAAAAAACTTCCTTGATTCAATGAAATGGAATCTGTGCAATGGCGCAGACTGAGAGGTGTTCTTTGTCTACCTTTTGTTTCAAGTTTATCCTCATGGGCAGATGTGGATTTTTCAAGGATAAGGTATAAATTTTGCGATTTTTGTTTGAACTGTAACAGCATGGAGGACCCCTACTTGTTATATATCGATTAGGTCGAAAGGTTTCTGTGAATTGTCGCTTATTATTGGTTCTCAGATGCCTGTTATTTAGCTGCTGCCGAATGCACTCTTCATTTTCCTTTATGAGCCTGGAGCTTGAGCTCAAAGTTAGGTTCGATTTTCAATTTCCTGTTACTTAGCTACTGTCGAGTGCACTCTTCATTTTCCTTTATGAGCCTGGAGTTTGAGCTCAAAGTTAGGTTGGATTTCACTTTCCTGTTATTTAGCTACTGTCGAGTGCGCTCTTCATTTTACTTTATTTAGCTACTGTCGAGTGCACTCAAAGTTAGGTCGGACTTTCAATTTCTGTAAGACTTGGCTTCTCAATCTCCTCTTCCTGTTATGGTTTGTCTAAAGACTTTACTCC